ACTACCTCGTTAAACAGACATGCTCTCAGTTCAGGACACCAGTGAACTCTTGAGCATACCAGCCCTGCCACCTGCACAATAATGAACTAGTAATGAGTTGCTACGAAGGCGGATTCTGGGTTTTGGGGCTTTATAGGTGAAAAAATTATTGTATTTTTCTCCGTTCACTAATCTTTGCTCTCTTTTGTAAATGCACAACAAAAATTAGTTTTTTTTTAAAATAGCTATATATAAGCTATTTTTAAAAAGACAAGAGGCACTTCTTTAGTAGCATTATTTACTTTAATTTACTTATTTACAACAGTACTCAGTGAACTCTGTGATAACAGCCAGTGACGGGGGAGGGTCACAGTTCTTGATATTTGCTTGTGTGTGTGTGTGTGCGCGCACTTGCAGATCCTTTGGTCTGTTCCCTATTCACACACGGGTGTGATTGAGGCTCTAACTCTTGGGGTAAAGCTGTTTACTTAATAAGATCACACACTAATTGTTGGTGTAAACAGTGAGTAGCAAGGGTGTGTGGCGTCTTTGATAAATGCTGCTAGTCTTCTTACTCTGTTAACTAACACAGATGATGATCAGGTTTGGAAGCTCTGTTCTGACAATTTACAGCCTTTACTGCACTGTGCACCCACGCATTTGGTTTGGTTATAACGTTTCATATGGCGATTCTGTATTTAGCATTAGTTTCCTTGGGAGCCAGGCCTATTTTAATTTATGGATAAAGGCTATGGTTTGATCTGAAGTGTTGGAGGGCTGCATCAGCAGGTTTGACACACAAGCCACTTTTAATTATGGAATAAGCCCACAAGTATTACCGGATTCATGAATCTGTTTTTAGTCTGTCATTCCTAGATTCATGACAATAGGTGAGACTGCAGTGTTTGCCATTGGACAGTATGTTATAATCTTATGTGTGTCTATCCTTTTATGTGACTGCACGCAGTTAAGATCTGTGCCTTGTTAAAAGTGAGGTTACTACTTCAGAGGAAAAAAACATAATAAATCTCCTCTTAGACAAGCACTCCCATCCATTAATCAGATGACATTTGAACTTGTCAACGTAATGTCTGACTAACTCGGTCAGTCATGATTGCAATATTACTCACATCTATGAATATTTACATAAAAATTTCAGCACATTAAATGAGAAGTTGTATTAAAGCACTGATGCATGGGACACGATTACAACTTTGTTTGTCTCTCATGAAAGCTGGAAAGCTCACTTAAAACGAGTGCATTGGATTTGTTTCAGATTTGCAATTAATACATTAGCTCCCATCCCTCTCACTGAGCCTGTTTGCAGGGGTGAGAGCAGCTTCAGAGCATGAGGACTTGATGTTTAAAAATTGTGGATACATATAACTAGGTTCAGTGTTTGTTTTCTTTTTGACTTCCATAAAGAAAACTGGGAACTGTGTAAAACCAAGCTAAAATCTAATAATCATCTTAAAATAAAGGAGTCAATCTGTGGTTAGTTGGTAGGAAATGCACATAAAATGAAATCAGCCTACTTGCTAACAATCCTGAAAAACTGTTAGCAAGTCAAACAGCTGCCGATTAAAAGACAGGGAAAGAGTTCAATAATAAGCTAAAACTAGTCATGGGATTTATCATCAAAAGCATTTTTGCTTTGATATTTGACCGTTTTTACCTATTGCTGTATGTGCTCCAGCCAGAAAGCAGTTATATAATACTTATTGAGTGTGAAAAATCAATGAAAAGTTACCACATTCTTTATTGATTTTCCCAACAATGCTTGGCTGGTTACTTAATGGTTCTAGCCAAGTCTGTGCATGTGGGTGTAGTTTAACCTTCAAGTGTCCGATTGCTTTTGTGACATTTTTAAGTTTCCTACTATGAATTTGGAGAATGCAAAGTTTCATACTTCATGAACCATCCATCCATCCATCCTCATCCGCTTTATCCGAGGCCGGGTCGCGGGGGCAGCAGCCTAAGCAAAGAGACCCAGACCTCCCTCTCCCCAGCCACCTCCTCCAGCTTATCCGGGGGAACACCAAGGCGTTCCCAGGCCAGCCGAGAGATATAATCTCTCCAGCGTGTCCTGGGTCTGCCCCGGACAATTCATGAACCATGGAATTAAAATGCACAGTTTTCTTATGACCCCAGAAATGTATTTTTATTTGTTTTGACATTATTTTAAAATGCTGCACAGTTTTGCAATGAAACATGGATTATAGAACAGGATTCAGAGAATTCCTGAAGTGTATGCAGTTGCAGACGGGCCATGGTTACAAGATGTGCTTTCATATATATTTTAACAATGTTTGTTGCAGCTTGTTGCATTAAAAACTGCTGTTCCTAGGACTGCGCTCTTCTGGACAGAAATCTCGAATGTTGGTCCTAGCAACTGCGAGAGCCACTTGCCTAGCTTGGGGGTCACTGCACCGACTGCTCCGATTACCACTGGGACCACTGTTGCCTTCACCCTCCAAATCTTCTCGACTTCTTCAGCCCTTGGTATTCCTGCAGCTTCTTGAGTTCCTATCGCTCAGTATCACTACAGACATCTTCCTCTGCTTTTCTAGTTGGTTAGCCATCACCAGTTTGTCTATCTGTATTTGGAAGTCTCACAGGATCTTAGCTCAGCATTCTTGACCACCTTAGGTGGCATGTCCCATTTTGATCTCTGAACTTTCAGGACATACTTGGCACAGATGTCTCTGTGTACTACGCTGGCCACTTGGTTATGGCGTTCCATGTATGCCCTGCCTGTTAGCATCTTGCACCCTGCTGTTATGTGCTGGATTGTCTCTGGGGCATCTTTACACAGCCTTCACCTGGGGTCTTGCTTGGTGTGATAGACCCCAGCCTCTATGGATCTTGTGCTCAGAACTTGTTCTTGTGCTGCCATGATTAGTGCCTCTGTGCTGTCTTTCAGTCCAGCTTTGTCCAGCCACTGGTAGGATTTCTGGATGTCAGCCATTCCTCTATCTGCTGGTGCTACATAGCGTGACTGTCATTCCATGATGATTCCTCCTCTTGTGCCTCTTCTTTCTCAGGTTTCTGCTGCAATGCTGGGTGTCTGTTGTCTCGTCCCGGACAGTTCTTGGAGGATCAAGAAACTGATACCGCTGACAGGCCCCCTGGCTCTTAAAAACTAATTACAATTTTTGAGTTCATACAAAGAAATTTTAGTAAAATGGATGAGCCTGCCGCATCAATTTCTCACTTTGATTTTCAGTGTCTTTGAATTCATCCTTATGTAGCTTGATGTGGCATCCTTTTGTTCCCTTTTGTTTGTTGTTTTATTTTTTTTCCTCAAAAACATTAAAAAGGGCAACATTCGACTGATCAGGTAATTCTTAAAGAGAAAAAACCACCTATAGTTCTGTAAACTTCATGAAGACTTTTCTCATCCAAGATGCTTTGTCAGAACTGTAAAGCCTGTTTTGTCTTCAAATCCTAATTTTACATTAATTTAGCTGTAATTTAAATATTGCCCTAAAAGCCCCTTTACAACAAATTTATTGATGGCTTCTCTTTTAATCCCTAATCATACATTAAATAAAACTTAAATGAAAACATCTGCTTTTCTGCACGTTTTGAGCCATCCTGGATTTTCTTTTTTGCTGCTAAATATCAAATTATCTAACAAATATTAACACTGAATCAAATGTGCATTGACTTCTTTTGATTTTCCTTGATTTATATTTTATTTTTAATGTATTTTTTTGTAATGCTAAAAAATTGTATTTAATTTATTTTGTGAACTTTGTATTTTTTTCCCCTTATACTTAGAAGCATATTTGCTCATTAGGAGTTTTAATTGGCTTCTAGAGTATCAAAGTCAAACCAAGACAGATTTTGCTGAATAGAGAATTTCAGCTTCTTTTAATAAGCTGTTTCAAGGACTTTAACTTTGATGCACTGCTTTTATTCATTTAGTCTCTCAATGCATGCTCAATCGTCCAGGTAAGGAAATCCCAAAAAGCTGATTCTGTTCATCTGGAGGTAGCATTTTCACTGGGGGAAACATTTCTTCACTCATCCAAGTGACTTCTTCAATCTCAGCTGACTGCAGGCTCCCCCAACCTTTTAAACAGTACATTTGCACAATGACTACAAACTAGCACCACTGGCCAACAGTGGGCTGTGAGGTCATTTTCTCAATCATTAATATGTAAATTGCCATGAGCATTGATCAATGAACATGAATAACATTCGACTTTTTGGGTTCTCACTCATGGGTCATCCCCAATCTCATACAGTTCAATCTTAAGCCTTCAAACTGTGATCTTTCTCAAGGTAATAAAAAGTAGAAAAGGTTTAAGCTTTTAATTCAGCAAAAGTAAAACATATAAAACTAGATATAGGTTTGATTTTATGAAATAAAGTTTACAAAGACAGTTATAATTCATTGTTGATGGCAGCTCTCAGAATTGTCTCTCAGACTCTCACAGATTTGACTGCCAGACTTCAAAACAGTGCCGTTTCAGATCAAATATGCTTATCTGTTTTCCAGTGATTCCCATCTGTTGCCAGTTTGTAAAATGTCGTAATTTACACATGTGTACATACATAGCTGCTTCTTTATCAGACAGCACTGACGAGGGATGAGATTTATTAGCTGGTACTGAGATATCAGATGCGTGGTGTGAAAAGTCACAAAACATAAAATATTGTGCCGACGGAGGTAATAACACAGGTAGTTGTTATAAACAGATTACATGACGGTGTTTATAAAGGAAAAAGCAGATCCAACATGCTTGAACTCACAACTGGTTGTCGAATGCCTTCATTTTATCACTTTATAATGGCAAAAAAGTGTAGTTCAGACTCTCCCACCTGCTACTGTCCCCCACCCATTGTTTGTATTGTGTTTACAAGTCTCCTCCCTAATTTTTGAAAATATCTATAAAAGTCTTTCCATTTCACTGTTTCTTGGTCGGTTCACCTTTTCCAGCTCTAGTGTCTCAACATCATCAACCACAGAAGAAAATCATAAATCGAAAGGCATCTTCACATCATCTTGAAAAATGAGAGTCCTCTTTGCTCTTTTTTTGGTGGGATGTGTGTGCGGTGTACCTCAAGGACTATGGGTCAGAGTAAGTATCATTTGTTTTTGGAAGTATTATAGATCCAAGGCTCATTTTTAAAGTCTCTTTGGTGTTTTTTGTATATTTCGATGCATTTCTGGCACAGTAGCTTATGGTTGATATATTCAGGCTATCTTCTTACATAAAACATTAACTTCAAGGAAATCACTCAACCCACTTATGTTCAGTGTGTCCTTCAAAAGTACACATGACATGACTGTCCTGTCCTTTCCTCTGATTAATCTCTGCGAATACAATGAAAATTTCGGCTTTTTGACACGACATTAACAAAACTTTTACTGGCCCAGATGGAAACTTCTTGTCCCTCTCCCCACAGGTTGGAGACAAAAGCTTCCCACTGGAGGCTGTGAAGCAGCTCAAGAAAATCATGGAATTAGATGAAAATCTTGGTTCTCACTCTGACGCACACACTTTCAAGACTGTGTGTGCCAACCCTCTTGTGCCGCAGGTGTTTCGACCAGTGTGCCAAAAGGATGAAGAAGTAGCCGTTTTCTCAAGTCTAAGTAAGGAGAGCCCAAAGGGAGATCAGATTATTTTGGTCACAACACATTACGGTATTACAGTGTGTTCCTGTCACATCGTTATTTCTCCACAGCTTACTGCAAAGGGTATTGCATGCATAAGAAATTATGCAAGTAGCTCATTGGGCACACTCTGAGCAACCAGTGTTAATGACTTAAAGCAAGATCCCAAACCAAAAACAAACAGTGTGTTATGTGTTATTATGCAACAGCAGTCTTGTGTAATATATTGCAATCATTTTTTAAGGACAAAAGCAATAACAGTGTTTTAGTCTGTAAATCAGTTTGTTTACCAACTCTCTATTCAATCTATAATAGCTGGTCCCAAGCTCAATTAAGCATAATAAGTTTCAGTCCAAAAATGGACAAATTCCAGTTGTCATAGATGCCATATGTTGCCATTAATTTTACAGAATGTGTAAGCAAAATTTCCTGAAACAGACAAGATGCTTTCCTTCAAACCTTTTTGCAAATGTAACATTTGTTTGCTATTAGACTCAGAGGGTTAATACACCTTTACTACTATTATTGTGGGAATGGTAGATGGTATTTGTTGCATGCATTGTTACATGAGAATGTCACTGGCATTTTAACTAGAGAAGCCAATTAGTTTCCCACACACTCGAAGCAGTGGCAAATTCACTATTTAATATATCAAAATATGTCTTGGAGCACCTCTAAAGCTCATATGTCAATCTGCATGTGAAATGTTGCGTGACAGTTTGTTGGTTAGTTGTTTCCCCCTGTTTTTAGGCTTTGTTGTATGCTGGTTTTGCTGGATGTTTTATGTGTTCCCACACATTAGCCTTTCCCTTTTATATGAATGACTTGCTCAACCACCTGAACTCCAGTTGCTGAGCCAGTCTCAGTATCCTTTTGCCAAATTTAAACAGCAAACAATTACGCACAGGCTCTTCCATCTAATCTTTAGTTTTATTACTCAGACAAACACTCTGTAGGACTCAAAATTAAAGACACAGACAACAAGCATAAAGTTTAGTTGAGTTGCTCAAATGGATTCATAGAATCCAATGTTTTCACATTGTAATAGACACATCCAGCAAGTGCTGCACCACAAAATGCCTGGAAGGATAACACCAGGCTTTGCAGAAAAGTCATCAGAAAAGACACTTGTTGCTGTAATAACATCCAATTATCACTATTAGGAGTAATTTTTCAAAATGGAAAGCAGGCCATTGGGTAAAATAAGGAATGTTTTTTTCTAATTGGGATTATTAAAATAATCGCTGAAGTTGTTGTTATGTTTTTTCTTGCACTGTCTAGTGGTTATAAATATGAATGAGTGTGAGATATGTGCCAACCCCGCCTGCGCTGGATGTGGATATTGAGGCTGCCGTCAGCTAGACACACACCTCCCCTGAGAGTCTCTAAGGTGTCATCATCCATTGTTCTTCTACATCTGGGAGTCATGGAGTCTCAGCAAGAAGTTTTCAAGTATTCAGAACTGTTAACTGTTAATTAATGTAAGGGGAAGAGGGGTTGTGTTATATATAAATTCATTGCAAAGCAAAACTGTTGATAAAAATGATATTTAATGGAAATCTGGTGGAATGTGTAACTGCAGAACTTAAGCTGGAGAAGTAAAACAATGCTAAGCTATATATACAGATCCCCTGGAGCTTGTGTGCAAGTTTTTATAGACAAAATTATAGGTTTATGTGACATTATATGCAATAATAAGATGCTCTTTTTCTCTGGCGATTCGATGATGATTTACTCAATCATTAAGGACACACACAAGCTGAAGAATTTAATAACATAATGTTTTGCATAAGTTTGTTTCCTACAATTTCACATCCAACTAGGATAGAAGTAAACGATGCTGTCATAGATAATATATTCTCATATGATGTAGTTGAGAAAATTCTCAGGGGTATAACCATGAATGATATAAATGATCATCTGCCATTTTTTTAGATGTAGAAAATAGAAATATCATTGAGAAAGACGTCAGAACTAGCAGGATAACAAGATGTATTAGACATAGTTAAAGCTGATATGATTAAACAAGCCTGGAGCAGCTTGTTCAGAAGATGCAAATGAGGTATAGAAAACTTGGGGGAAATAATAACTGACTCATACAATAAAAACTGCAGAAAGAAAAATTTATGGTCTAAAGAATTCTTTAAAATTAGAACAAAAGAGTCTAAAAATGAATATGAAAAGTATAAAAATAAATTAACATGGATACTAAGATCATCATAAGCAAAAGAACACATAATAGTTTACTACAAATACAGGTAAGGCATACAGAACACCGGGAGAGTTTGAAATATTCTGATATTCTAATTTCATTGCAAATACTGGAACACGGCAATCAAAGAGTTCTTTGTAAATCTAGGAACAAAACTAGCTGTGACAATTAAAACACCCAACAATAATCAAAGAGAAACAGGTTAGCTGGATATAGAGAGCCATAATCTATATTTCAGAGGAACGGACAAAACAAAAATAATACTGTAACAGCAGGACAGTGTGCACTGAACTCCGCACCACACATGGCACAGGGCCTCCGTTACACCAAAGACACTCACACTATAACACTAGACAGGAACCCAAGTGACCTTACAAAGAATGAAAATAAATTAATATGTCTGGACTTAAGCATTTGACACCATTGACAAATTATTGGAAAGGTTAGAAATATAAATGAGTAGGACAGACTGCACACTCATAGTTCCATATTTGACCCATTGGGCAGAAGTATTCGGAAATGCATATAGAATGATCACCAACTTAATATTTTTATTACGAGATAAAGAACTAAAAATAGTATTGACAGCAAATTATTATCATTTCACTACCCCACTGTTCATTTGGATGAATACATTAAAATTTGTGTTTTTTATTATTAAGAGATTTTACAGTTATTTCGATTAAAAAGTAAAAAACAATTACCTCCAGGCATCCAAGATTTGTTCCGGTTGAGAAGAACCAATTATTTTTATGTTAATGTAATTATGACATACTGTTTTTTGATGGGGGGCTTTTGGTCACATTGTCCATTTTTGGTTGGCTAAATATTGTATTATATATGAGGGGTAAGTGCAATATTGAAGCTTTTGCTTCTGTGTACACTATATTGTATAAGTATTCTCTCGGCATTCATCCCAAAGGTGTTCTCTCTGGTTGAGGACAGGACTCTGCACAGGCCAGTCAAGTTCTTCCACGCCTAACTTGCTCATCCATGTCCATACGGAGCTTGTTTGTGTTTTTTTTGTTTTGTTTTGTAGTAATGTCAGAAGTGGAGCTGTCCCCAAATTGGTCTTACAAAGTCCAAAATGTTTTTGTATGCTTTGGTATGCTACGTAGAGTTTCTTACTCCTAAAAAACAAGTCTTCACTGTTGTAGAGTCCAGTGGTAGCGTTCTTGAGCTAATCTAAAGGCTGCATGAAGTTTGGAGGTCAGTATTGATTGACTCTGCAGAAAGCTTGTGGCCTTTACACACTATGCAATTCACCATCTGCTGACCCCACTTTGTGATTTTACATGACACATACTGTTGTAGTCTTTCCCAGTTGCTTCCATTTTTTTGTAATGCCACTAACAGTTTACTGTGGAGTGTTTAGTAGCAAGGAAATTTCACAAGGTGACATCCTGTCATGGTACCACGTTGGATTTCATGGAGCTCTGAGAGTGACCCATTCTTTCACAAATGTTCATAGAAGCAGTCTGCATGCTTAGGTTCTTGATTTTATGCACCTGTGGCTATGAAAGTGATTGGGACTTTAATAATTTAGGATGGGTGAGTAAAAACTTTTGGTAATATAGTGTATTTCTTTCTTTTTTCCTTTTTTTTTTGTTTTGTTATGACAGACAGAAACAAAATGGACAAACATTTCTATGTACAAGCATCCACGGACACACCAAACCACAACTTCACTTAATCCCAGCAGGTCTTAGTGGTCAAAGTACTTGATTTTGGATTAAAGTGACAAAAATCGGATTTACCATTTTTTATGCTTTGGTAGATACAATCCTTTGTTACTAAGGCCACAAATCTGTTAAACTTTTAAAACTCCTTAAGGCAATTTTATAATAATCAAATCCTTTGGATTGATGAAAGAATGTTTTTAACTGAATATATATATTTACAGACACAAACCTGCATGCACACAAAAGAAGAATGATGCTTCAAAGCCACTGAACTGGGATAAAAGTAAAGGGTATTAAGCAAGTCTAATGAAAGCAAGTCTAAAGTGAGTGAGCTGAAGGGGTCATATTCAAAAATGTTTTATTTGTTAGACAAATCATTTGGCTTCAACTAAACTCGTCCACTTAACCAAACTGGTAACACCCTTTTAATGTAATTCTTCAAATACATGATCTGTTTGCTTTTGTTTGTTGCCCGCGACTGATTTTGCCAGGATCTACCATGTGTCTGATATGACACGATGAAAATGTATCCAACAGACTAGCCAGTAGTGCAGCTAATTTATGTAACAGCAGCAGGGAATGTGCATCACTGCACTTCAGACATCAATATGCACGACCTGATTCGTGAAATGCTCTCCGGCCCCTGTGTTTTGCAGCCATCACAGCTGTCACACACACACTCTCATCAGTCATTACAGAAACACCCATTTTTAATCATTTAAAGCTGCTCTGTTGTCTGGACAGGTTTTTAGTTGAATCCACTGATCTTTAAAACCTCCAATAATTAGTTTAATGGATCACTTTAATGGGCTGCTTTGATCACGGTGACCAGCCTTAACAGTTACTGCATGTCTGTGTGGTTGCACTGATGTTTCAGTGGAAATAAAGTTGAAACCTACAATATTACATGCCATTTACAAATGAACGGTGACAAATATTGCAGTCCATAATGTATTTCAAGTCTGTTATTGTAGTATCACATTGCAGTATGTGCTGGGTTGAGTAGATACAAACAGACGGATACATACATATGTCAAACTTCTGGTAAGTCCTTATCCTCTATTATTCCTTCCAATTTTTGCAATGTGCAGTTGTACCACTACCAATGGCAGCAAAAGGTTATTGTGGCCAGATGGTTATCTTTTTATGTATTAACACATTCAGATAACTTACACTTATGGACACTGAGTTCCTTAGATTTTCCCAGTGTTCTGAATATTGATGAAACCAGTGAGTCATGTCAAACAAATCGTTTTTATGCTGGCAAAGGGAAACTACCAGTTGAGATTGATAACTAGTGACTGGGCTCGCTGCACAGGTGACATCCTGTCACGGCAACGCGTTGGAATTCAGGCCTTGGCCATGTCAGGTTGAAAGATATTGTAGAGCCATGAGCACCACTTATCAAAAGATTTAAGTGAAAAGTATATACATTTGAGCCTATATGTATCCTTTTGGCTGTGTGTATTTGAAACAATGCAAACTAAATTCAAATCCAATTATTGTTTTTAAAAGTAAAATAATATGTATGCAGCACAATCTTTCAGCATGCTCAGAAAAGAGCAATTCAAAGAAATCATTAAAATTACCATGACATTCATGTTCATGACGAGGATATATAAACTTGCTGCAGATGCAGAATTGATATGAAATCTGGGAAAATTATATGAAATTATAATTAGAGGAAGTTAAGAGCATATCCTGGCTAATAACAAGAAAATGAAAGATCATCACAAAAATCGTTAATTTAAATATGTGTTATTTTAAAAGAGAAACAATGACAGACCCTCACTTGTTAAGGAAGTCTCACCTGTTCAACGGGATCTAAGCGAAAAAGGAAATAAAAAGGAGCGAATGCTCTTGTCTCGTTCGGCTCTTCTGCTCCTTCTTCTTTTTGACGACATTTGGCGCCCTCTCGCGGTGTTTCACTAACATTACAACGAGCGGTTTGTGATCAAATAACTGACTTAAACAATAAACCAACGCGAATCCGACGAATAAGTGTCATTGAACGTTAAAACACGAATTATTCATAAGGCTAAAGAGAAAGCTGGTGTTCATCTCACCCTATAGCTCCGTATTTATGTCTTTAAGGAGAAAAACAAATCATTTAACTTTGAAAACAGCCGCCAGTGAACGAAACCTTGGAAGTGTCGTAGAAACGGGCTGATTTTTCACATAGAAATATATTCTGTATCAGGCAGGATTGCGTTATTTTTTAAAAAAGACGCGTTTCTGTTCGGTTGTTTTACACATCCGCAAGAATTCAGTGTACGTCAGCTGTACTCTGGCAACGTTGACCAGCTGTTAAACCCTAGTGTTTCATTTGGTGTCCCTTTGAATTGATATCACGTGGCTCGTTGGTCTAGGGGTATGATTCTCGCTTAGGGTGCGAGAGGTCCCGGGTTCAAATCCCGGACGAGCCCTCGTCTTTTTGCGTTCGTCTTCCATAGGCTTTAATGTCT